CTCTTCCTTCTCTATTCTCTACCCTCCCCAGCCTCTAGTAGCCTCTATTTTGCTATATGTGAGTCCACATGTGAGTGAGATCACAGAATGTTTGTCTTGCTGTGTCTGGCTAATTTCACCTAACGTTTTGACCTCCATCTTCATCCATGTTGTCACAAATGGCAAGAGTTTATCCTTCATGTGGTTGAGGTGTTCCACAGTGTCCATGTACCTGTTGTCTATCAGGAGGAACAAGTTACAAGTTTTGGCACACTATGACAGAGAAGTGTGTTCACAGTTCACAGCATTCCACTGTAGTTCCACAAAGCGGAAAGACAGGATTTGGATTGTTCTCATTACTGAGAAATGACATGTCTGAAGTGATGGATGATGCCCAGAGTTGATTATTCACAATGAACGTAGATCCAAATCATCATCCTGTGCCTTATAAGTAAATGCAGTTACTACATGGAGTTAAAGAAGAAAATTTCTGCACTAGAAGAATCAGACAAAAAGCTTGCTTAGCATCCAGCTCATGGACACTAGAGTCTGTTTAAAGAGGTCAGATAACAGACCAGTTTTGTCATATCCTAGCCACGGGGTTATGGGCAAGAACCTCTGCACGTTTCCTCATCCGTAAAACTGTTTGATGAGTCATGATGAGGGCTGTCATGAAGACCACAGGCTACAGGAGATAGTTGGTGAGGACACTCGGCAAGTCCTTTTCACATAATATCACCGGGCATCCGACAGGCAATCTAAACACACACACTTCATTATGACATTCTGGGGAAAAGGTAGATACTGGAGTTATTTCATTTTGTAATCTAAAAAAGAGGAGATGTATGCCCAGGCATTCAAGCTGTAAGTTGTGCAGATGGGCTGATACCCAGTCGAACACCAGAAGCCCAAAGACTTCAAGGAGGTTGGGAATGACCAACAGAAGCCATCATCTACACTGCCTCAGAGAGCTACTGCCAATGGCCACTGTGCTGGAACAATGACCTAGAATGTCCTGTCTGAGCAGAGCCTTTAAGGCTTTCCTATTTTGCCAGGATTGGTGGCAAGCCTACATGGTTGAGCATGAGGAGATGTTAAGTGGAGAACTGTTTAGGCTTGTCTGCTCACACAGCTGTAATGGTGAGAGTCTGGGATCGAAGCAGCTGCTGAAGAACTTTCCCTCCTAGTCTTGGCAAGCATGCTCAGTAGCAATGGTGCTGTGGGGGTGGGGGAGCAGGGGGAAGCTCTGTTGTCCGATGAAGTAAATTCCCATAATTAAGCAGTGTGACCCGGGAAAGAGACTTAACATCTCTGGTTCCAGGAGGATAAACTTTTGCATCAGTTAACGTAATACTGACCCTTGCAACTGGGCTAACTGCTGTGCTGCACTGAGCATCCATGATTCTGATGATAATGTCTCTGTTCCATTAGATGTGACCAGAGTCTCCTCTGTCGTCTTTGTTGGTATCTCACAAGGAAATGCCAGTTCATGTCATAAAAAAGCAAGGTCACAAGAACCAAGAGGAAATGGAGCTTGACTGATCACTATTGCCACAGACACGGTCTTGCTAACAACAGCTCATCAACACAGCCTGGTTAAGGGATCTGACTTCATCCTTCTCACAGAGCACAGTGGTGCTGAACAGCCACAAAACAATGTCATTTGACTCTTTCCACTTGCCAGTGGTCCAGGGAAATCACTTCCCAAGACCAAATGTATAGAAAATGTATAACACTCCTGAACCCATTAGCCAATCTTGTCTCTTCCTTCTCTATTCTCTACCCTCCCCAGCCTCTATTTTGCTGTATGTGAACCTTTGCTATAAGGTCTTGCCCAAGACCACAGAGCAGTATTACACCTCTGTGTTTCACTCTGTGAAATGGAACAAAAGATTAGAGACTCAAATATAAAGGTATATTTGCTCTGAACTCTCTGTTTCTCATAAACTTGAGTCTTCAGGGTCTTATTTTGCATCTGGGTTCAGCCTTATCTTTGTGCTCATCAACCTTCAAGTCAGAAGTCTTCGGACACATATCTTTTCAAATGATGTATAGCCTACATTCAGAGGCATGCTGTTGTTTCACTGGAAAGATTTGTTTCTTTCATGGTACACACACTTTTAATGGTGAGTTATACAGTGGATGGCATCTAGGTTTGAAGAAATATAGCAGCTGTTGCAAAGCATGTTGCATTTGAACAAAATTTGCTTTCACACTGATCAACAGTAACATCCACATGAGTACTCCTAACACAGAAGTGAGAAATTTGATGTGCTTAACACTGAACATCATTTGCTCAGTTGCCCAGTGCACAGGAAGAAGAATTACAGTGATGTTCTCATTTCATTGCTGAGTACATATTATTGCAGAGCTTTGTGTTTTAAAACACCAGTCATTTAGTAATGCTTGTAATGTTTTCAGTCAGGAATTTGGGAAAAACTTGGCAGGGTAGTTCTCACTGGGGGTTTCCCATGCCCTTGTATTCAGATGTCACTTAAGACTGTGGTCATGCAAAAGTGCAAAAAGCCTAAACAGCCAAGATGGCCATCACTGGCTGGCAACTAATCTGAGGCCACAGCTAGGGCAAGAATGGCTCTTCAGCATTATAATACCATGTTCCCCTAGTACTTGTACTCCAAGAACACTAGGCAGGTGCAGCATGCAACAATCACCAGTCTACATACACTGGAAGAGACAGGAATCCCATATTCCAATAGGAAGCACATAAACAGCAAGTTGATTATGTCCATAAACCACCATAGAGGAGAATGCTGTGTAGGCTAGAGCTGCCCAAAGATACTCAGGAACAGAGGAAAGGAGATTATCTAAGTGTGGTGAGGTAGATTTCTAATCAAATCAAGGTTCATTCAATCATCTACACATCATAACCAATGCAGTCATTTTGGGTATATCTCCATCTTTGGTCTCTTTGTTCAGAACATATCAGGAACTTTCCAAGAAGTGGTCTCAAGGCTGATTTCACAGGTTCCCAAGAAACTTCAGACTTAGAACTTGGTCAAAAGGTTTTGTTCAGCTTTATTACTTAGTAAGCACCCAGTGAAGAACATCCTGGCTTCTGTAGATACTCTGACAATGGGACGGTGCTAACAACTTTAGTCTGTAATGAGGTCAGTAACTTAGGGTACTACAGATGACAGCAAGGAAGAAGAGGGACACAGATTAGAGGGTAGGCAGAGAATGCCCAACTGGAAATTGACATTGAAATACAAGTCAGAATACAGTGAGGACAGAAGCAGACGGTTATGCAGGAAAGAATGTTCTAGAAAAGTGAACTGCTACATGGAAAGGCAGAGTGTACTCAGGGAGTCTGTGACATAAGAAGTCTAGGAGAAGAGTGATCTGAACAAGCAGGAAAATGGCAAAAAGGAGAAGCCATTAGCTACTCAGGGAGGACTGTGTACATTTAGAGGGGATCTTCAGAATTTAGTCTAATTGAGATGGGATTCCAGAGGGTGCTTGTGACTAGATGAGGCCCATGTCTCAGTACTCATTTTTAAAGGACCCTGGCTGCTGAAGAAGGAAGGTAGGTCAGACAGAAACAGGAAGGCTGGGTAGGAAGGAGACTGTCCAAAGATGGGGACCCCCCTTTTCTGAGGTGTTTCTGACCAAAAGGATAAAAAACAAGTGGGAAGGGCAGACGTTCTGCAGGCACTTTCCAAAAGACTTTCAGTAGGCACACCTACTATTTGATTCTTTAACCCCACAATCAAGAACTATTTTAAAATAAAGCCTAGTCGCTGTTCAACTTCAAGTGACTTCTCTAAAGTCTGGCCATTGGGGTAACAGAAAGTGACATCCCAGGTCACATCAGCTCCTTCACACATGACCAGCAGGTTGGTCCCTCACTACACAAAAAGGGCAGAGAACCCAGGCACTAATCCCCCTCCATCACTCTGCCTCTGACAAGAAATCGTAGATGGGAAGAGATGAAAAAAGGCCACTGGATGGAAAGACCATTTCAAAAGAAGTTTCAAAAATTCTAGAGCCTTCCAGAAGGGCTGCCAGAAGAGACTCGAGTCCATTTGCATGAGCAAGTTTGGTTATTTTGGTCATCTAGTGACATGACTTAGTGGTCACAGCCCCTTCTTTTTTACAAGAGAGTAAAGGAGTCTTTCATGTCAAAAAGAAACTACTAGTGTGGGTGTTTTGAGGCAGAGTTTGGGGGGCATTTCATGCTCCATGAGCCTCAGTACTGAATAGGGTCAAGGTTCTGTTTAAAGACCACAGAGCCTTGATGATGGATCAAGGTGCAAAACAAAGCCTATAACCACGACTGCTTTTCTTTTCATTCCGTTTGGCCAGCTCTTCCACAGCCATTTACTGTGTGCCAGTCACTGTTCCAACCTTTTTATAAGTATTTAGTCATTTAATGAGATTGATAATCATGATTTAAATAGTACCATTGTCCCTCATTCAATGTTCAGTTTACATTTATTAAGCATTACACAGATGAGCAAAGAATTCATGGAGAAGCTAAGAGACTTCTCCAAGGTCACATAGATGACTCTATGTTGAAACTCAGGAGCTCTGGCTGCCCCTCACTGTGCAGATACTGTGAATTTGTATTAGAAATGCTTTCAGCTGCAAGTAAGAGATAGCCTAGGTTTGCTTTATTTTGTTTTTGCTTGTTTTTTGTTTTTTCAAGACAGGGAAGAAAAAGAAAAGGGACAGAGGGATGAATACTGAAGTACAGGGAATTTCTAAGCCAGTGAAAGCAGTAAAATTTCCTTATGAGCCAGAGATGGTAGATTTGTAATGCTACATATTAATCAAGCTCCATAGGCCACAGGACACCAGTAGTTATTCCCAATGTAATGAACTTTGGTCACTCATAAGGTATCAATATTGCCATATAAATTCTAATATACCACAGTAATGCAAGATATTAGTAATAAGATAGTGTGAGGGAAAAGGAAACGGGAACTCAGTGGATTTCTTGATAAATCCATACCTACTCAGGAAAAAAAAGTCTATTAATTTAAACACAAATACACACACAGTTTGACAATATCTATATCCTTTAATATAGTGGTTCTACTTCTGTCATCGTTTTTGGACACAGAACATGCTAGAAGGAAAGATTTAAATACAGGAAGGAAAAAGGAAGTTCCAGTTTTTTTGTGAACTATGATTTAGATAAAAGGAAATTTCAACATGTAACTGAAAAGTTAGGGACTAACACAGGTATGGCTGGCAGAAAACTGTGGATGGAAAAAGGGAAGGTGCCTTGTCATGACAACTATGTGGGTGTCGAGGGGCTACAGAATAACAGATATGAGTTATATAGAACAGTTGCTCTTATATTAAAAAGGACTGGGAGATTATAGAAAGCATGCTTTTTGGTTCCTTATATTTCCAATATACTTGCTCAAATATGTGAATGTGCTCTGGAGGTGTGGAATACGTAGAACAAAGGGAGAAAAGATCGGAAGCTGGAGAGTAGAAGAATAGCAACTCCCACCTCCATTTTTTTCAACATTTCAAAAAAATGTATTCTGTGTCTTTCACATCATGCATCCCATTCATTTCCTTGTCCCTTCGTATCTGCCTTCTGCTCTTGCAATCCACCACCCCACCCAAATAAAATATAGTAAAATTTAAGAAAAAAAAAAAAAAGGAAAAATCAACCTCATTATGGAAGCTGTAGTGTGACACAGTGAGTCAGGCAGTAAACCCCTTTATCCACATATTTTTACATGCAGGGGTTCATCACAAAGAATCCTTGGTCTGGATTGAGGCCCCTGGTCTCTGCTACACCCTTGACATTGGGTCCTCACTGGGACTCTTACTGAATATCCCATTGCCACCCTGTGTGATGGAGATCCTGTAGCCCTGGGTCCACAGGACTAACATCCCCACTCCACCCACCTTGCTCCAGCAGATCATAGATGGATGCATGTTGGGGTGGGCTAACACTTAACCCTGGTTCTAAGCCTGGGTACTTGCAGGGTTGGTCAGCCCACCAGCTCTCCACTGTCTTCACCACCAGGGTGAGCTCTTCAGCATTGCCCTGGCTAAGTTCATCCCTTGCAGCAACAAACAAGGGCAGGGCCAGTTCTGCTTTCATGTCCTCAGGGTTAGTTCTCCCATACCTACATCTTCAGGGCCAGCTCTACTGTGTTGCCCAGGCGAGGTGTAGGGGCCATTCTCCTGAGTGCTGCAGCTGATGAGGGGCAGGAACAGCTCTCCTGCTCTGATGACTTCAGAGCCTGCTCTCCCACCTGCTTCAGGTATTGATTGGGGGCTGGGGGGGGCATCTCACCCCTATCCATGTTGCCAAGTACAGGTGAGTAATGGGGACAGCTCTCTCATGCTCACAACTTCAGGGATGGCCCAACCACACCTCAGACAATAGGATTGGCTCTATTGTGCTGCCCAGGCAAGGTGCAGGGCCTGCTCTCCTGAGTGTTGCAGCTGGTGTGGAACAAAAGCAGCTCTCCCATGCTTATGGCATCTGCACCAGCTCACCCACGTGCCTCAGGTGTTGATGGTTTAGGGGGGTGGCCCACCTCATTTTTTAAGAAGTAGGGGTAGGCAGTCAATTTTTTTCATACTTTTCCAAGTTTAAAAAAGTGGGGGGGGGGGGGGGGCGGGACTTAGTCAGTGCTGGAAGCTAGATGGCAAAGGACTGCTTATGTGAAACCAAAATGAACACACCTTGAAGTTCAGATGTTAGTTGAGGACACAGAAATGTCACCAGATGTGCCTCCAGCATGCTAAGGTCAATAGGAAATGGACATACACTGAGGGGGAGAGATTAATAATGTACTTAACTGGCTCACTTAACCTGCAAACCTCTACTTCTTAATTCCTTTCAGGGGACCTGAAGTAGGGAAATACATGGGAGAAAATTAAATCGCTGCCTTTAAGGCCTTCCAGTGTAGTTTATCCAGAAACTAAGATCTTCACAGTCAGTGCATTTTTGATGGAGAGGTATGCTAATCACAGAAGGGGAATGGAACAGCTGCTGTAATCAGAACTCAAGCCAGGGCTCCAGGGAGTGTGTGGACCCTGAGCCTTGCTCCTCAGGGAAACCCCCAGAAGGTTTCTGTAAGCTGAATTAAAGAGGCCAAGGGATTTATGTTTGAATTTTCCCTACATCGAGCTTTTCCAACCAAGGATCTATGAATTGTAGGGCAGGTTGAGTCACTTTTGAAAGTTTACCAGTTCTGAATATATGTGCTGGAAAGGCTGAGAACATGAAATATGGGGTGAGAAACTTGGATTGATCTGCATTGATCTACAAGAGATTCCAACACATGTAGTCAAGAAAGACAGCTATTAACCACAGCAAGAACCCCACAATTTACTTACTAATTCATATCATCAATTGGCCAGGTACACTTTGTCAATGAAATCTTCTCCATTCCCTTTGCTCCCATTATGTGGGTGTGTCACCTTGATATTCATTTAGAATTCCGAACCTCTACAATTATGTTTTTGTTGTTTTAAGACAGAGTTTTGCACTATAACCCAGGCTTGTCTGGAATTCTTGGTCTTCCTGCCTCAGCTTCCCAAGTACTGGAATGACAGGTGTGCACTATCATACCCAGAAAAATTATACCTTTTCCATGAAAAGGGAAAAGAATGGGTAAAGTGTCTATTGCACAGCATCATTTCACCAGTTGACCTAGCTGGCAGGAAGAGAAGAAGGGAAGAGGATTAACTGTGTGTTCTTAGCATCTCCATAAAGAGAAATATATGGTAGAGCCTGAACTTACTCCAGTAGAAATCTGCTCAACCCATGGAACACACAAGCAAAGGGGTGTTCAGGAGTGGAGGCACACAACACCCTCAGATACTGCCGGATTATAGCTCCTATGCCTCTTTCACACCTATTCATTGTGACCTCTCCCATGCAACCACATCGTCTACAAACTAAGGGCCAGAGTTTTCCTGCCACATGGTAAGGCAAACACACCTCAGGCATAAGAAGAAGAGCTGGTGACCCTGTGGTCCTGAGCTACATAGTTGGGGAACACCCTATGATAGCTCAGGTCTCAGAAGAGAAAAGCCTACCCATGAATCATAGTGGTTTAGAACTTCCTCTGGGCCATTCTTGTGGCTCCCTGAGAGGCTTGACATGAGTCACAAGGGCCTAGAACCTGAGGATTCTCTTGTGAAACAAGACTTCCTGAGCTTTGCTGGTCTCTCAAGTCTTGTCATAGACACATGAAATGACCTATCAGCAGGTGGAGAGAGACTTGAAACACCAGGTGAAATATTCCCAGTGGGTGTGGTTTTCAACTTTTTTGCATTTTACTAGCTATGTTCCCCTTCACCATACCAGGTACATGTTCTCTTTCATATATGGGTCCTGTCTTTGAATCGTTACATTTGTGGGTTTAACCTGGAGTAACTACAGAAGCCAGAAAACTGGAAGGGGCCGTCAGGGTGGAGCATGACTTAAAGGAGGGAGACTAGAGGAGCATAGGTGGCAGGCAAGTAGAAATGGGGACTAGAGAGGATAGAAAGGTTCAAGCAGAGATAGGGTTGGGGCACAAAGGAACGAAAGGGCAGGAGAGGTAAGAATTAACCGAGACAAGTATGTACAAAGACCGTATGGAAACCTACCACTTTGTAACTCAACTGAAAATATGGTTTTAAAAAATATATCATACGTGTCTGGATAATGCTTTTCTAAAAGCAATGGGTTGCTAAATGAACAACCCAATGCCATATGTGGGTTCTGTCACTATGTGTTCTTAAGGAAGCTCTTGCCGTTGCCATTGGTTGCTAACCAGACTAGTTAATAACACCACTGTTGAAAGACACCACACACCCCAGTTAAGAGATAAAGATAAACCAAGCTGGAAGTGAAGTAGAAACTTTCTTTCTGCTGGATAGTATTGAAAGGTGCTAGGCAAGCTACTGGGGGGGGGGACGACATATGAACATTTTTATCCATCTGTGAACCCTATGAACGACAATATCAATCTGCCAGGTAAGATGCGCCCACTAGTGAAATAGTGGCATGACTGTTACAGCGGTAACCAACTACTCCCTTACTTGATTTGAGACCTGCTTCATAGAAGGTCCATATTTGATACTATAAACTCAGTCAAAAATGTTTGGCTTGGGTCTTAGGCTACATAGGGAACCTTACTACAGTTGTTCAATATGGAGTCAAGCTGCTTTCCAAATATTTGTACTTAGAAAGATCTGTATTTAGATTTTGTATTTGTATAATAGACAAATGTTAATGCCGGGCCTTAATCAGAGAAGCTTCTCTTTACAATGAACTGTGATAAATACAGAGATTCTTGGGTTCCGAGGCTGATGACAATACATGATGGTTGAGTGTTCAGGAGAGAAATAGCATCACCCTGCAAAGCTCAAGGAATCTCACAGAAGAAGTGGAAAGAATGTAAGAGCTAGACAATAAGGAACTGGGCTGTGAATGCTATTGGCCGGGAATAAGGGCTGTTAATTCTATTGTTTGGACATGACAAAGCCATTGCAGTCATTATTGCATAGCAGTTGTGGTTGTCTACCCTATCATAAAACCGGGTCTAGTATCAATCAATCGTGGACAGGTGAGAGACTCAAAGGACCATATCCTATCCTGCTCAACAATTAGATGCTGGTAGATTCCAGGAGAAGGGCAGACATTGTCTTCAGTCATGTACCCACAAGTGGTTCCATTAGGCTCCAGTGGATAGTGGGAAACTTGTGGCCACACAGACAAACCTGGCTAAACAGAATGAGTCACAAAACAAAACAAAAAGACAAGAATGTGAGAAAGGAGTTACAGGAAGGAAGGAGGTTGACAAGGGTATGGGCATATAGAATATGGTGGAGATGAGAGTAATCAGAATGCAATATATAATATTTGACCAAAGCAAAACCAAAAATTCTTTATAAATGATGACAAAGTATTTAGAAAGAAGAGTACAATCTAGAGGCAAATTTGGGCTTATAGTGGACTGTTTGTGGTGCTGTCTCAGCTAAGTGCTGGGCTGGGGGCCTTTCCCCATTTCAACACATAATGGAGGGACAGCTACCGGTATATTCTGTGTATGAATCTCAGTGGCACTATGGAAGTTCTATTATTCTGCCTAATACATTCGAAAGGCCCCCTGAGCCCACTGTGCAGAGGAAAATATATGGTCCAGGGAGAGGAAATATCCTAGGTCAGTCATTCACCATCCATTTTTATGGAATACTTGGGGAACAATGCCCTAGACTGAAGACAAGTGATTTTTTTTCTGTCTGTATGCAGTACACACACACTCATATATACACAAATAATAAATAGAAAGTAATTTCCATTTCATGGGAAATGCAGATATCAAAACAGGGTTCCCACTAAACTCTTGCATAGCAGCCATCTTAAGCGCAGTAATTATGGCCAACAGTTAGCAGAAGGACAAATCTCTGCAAATTGGGAGGAATTCCCATTGTCATTGGTTTTAATTAGTTTGCAAAGAAATACCATAATATAAAGGACAGCTTGAAGTTTCCAAACACTTGACCCCCCAAAAACAAGGGGGTGTCTTTCTTGCTCTATACAGCACTGTGTCTTTGGCTGTTTTTATCAGCACTTAAGGTTAGACCAGATATGGTCACCACCAAAATTGCTGTTTTGATTCGGATTTCTAAAAATATCTCATGGGAAGCCTGTAGTGTAAGAGGATGATGGTTACATATACTTCCAAAGAGTAAAATATAAAACATTTGAACTGAATTGCTTAAAAGCTGAAAATGAGTGCAAATAATGCTTTGTAGCAATAGCTATAATTAACTGTCCTAATGGAATCCTTTGAAGATAAAGGCGGTTCAACGAGTGAGTTTAATTGAAAGTAACGTTTCCAGACTAATATTCCATCAAACCTAGATTGAAAGAGGAGAGCTCAGTCGTGACCCCGGTTGAAAGTATTGTGTATAGTGGGAGATGCCCAGGCAGGGGAGGGAGAGCGCTCTCTTCTCTCTTCTCCACATTTCCAGGCACACTTCCTAGTTTCAGGAATCTTCTATGTCTTCTGGAAAGAATGTATCATTCTCTTCAAGACAATGTCATGGCTGGATCTATCGCCTGTGTAAGTCCATCAGTCTCCTACAAAAAACAAAACAAATTTTAAGAAGGAATCCAGGAGCCTGGTGTGGTGGTGCACACCTTTAATCCTAGCACTTGGAAGGCAGAGGCAGGTGGATCTCTGTGAGTTCAAGGCCACTCTGGTCTACAAAGAGAGTTCCAGGAAAAAGACACTGGCTGACCAATACCTCATACCTCATTACCAGCTCTGGGCACATCACATTCTAGGAAGTGTGTACTTACCCACTAGCTCTGGAGGGCTCAACTGTCTTATAGAATTGCCTCCAGCCTGAAGACTTCCGTCTTGACTATTTAGCAGCTGTGTGACTTCTGCTGAGTTACTTGGCATCTCTAAGTAGATGCTTCTCATCTGAAAAAAAAATAAGACAGGATTATTGTTATCATCACATATACCAGAAGACTGAGGAAGCTGAACTGTGTGCACAGTCATGTGGTGCTCTGGACAGTGTCGGGCACTATGAGCTGTGTGAGGAGGGCTGGTCACAGGGACCAGGGCCTTCCCTGACACTCAGAATGGGTCTGTGATCCAGCAGCATCCTTGAGGCCTTGTAGCCTTTTATTCACAGAACTCAGGTTGGCACAGGAGATGGTTAATAGGTGCTCCTGTGTCTGGCATAAGTCACTTCCTAGGTGTGTGGCTCTGTATCAGGTGATCACTGGAAGTTGACAAGGTCTTAGAAGCATTGCACTGTTTTTGTGGTCAGCTGCAAAAGATTTTCTGTGCAAAAAGCGTGGCTAAGTAGGAATGTATTTTCCTGCAGAGGAAGTCAGAATGCTGTTCCCCGGAACACTCTAACCCCTGATGCCCAGAGTCAGTAGGATGCTTAAAAGCTCAGCTCTGGAATCAGACACTCTGGGCTTTAACTGTGGCTCTGTTAATCAGAGCTATCTGATAAGTTTAGTAAGTTGATGCCTCTGAACCTCCCAGTTTCTCCATTTTTTTAAATTAAGATTATAAAAAGTGTTTAATATTTGAGTGTATTCTAAGTCCTTTATATTATCAAACCACTGAGTATTTGAAGCACACCACTATTATCTGTGGCTGCACAAATAATGCCACGGGATATCTTAGTGATGTTACTTGCTTAACACCACCCTGCTAATAAATGCCAAGAATAAAATTCTTTTTTTACCTGGGTACTGGGCCTTGAACCCAGGGCCTTGTGCATGCTGAGCAAGCACTCTACCATGGAACAAGATCCCCAGCTTGGAAGGGGGTTTCTTACTGGTATCCATGTTATGGCCATGACATGGACAGCCTCTTGGAGAATTGTCCTATGAGACCATAGGAATGAAACACTCTCCAAGCCACCTGGCAGAGAACAAGTAGTCAACAAATTTTTAACAATTGGGTATCACTTAAAGATCAGTGTTTTCCGCCTTTGGTCAGAAAGAAAATACAAGGATTACTAAAGCATCCATGTGGTGGGTGAGAAGGGGAAACAGTTACCTATAGAGATAGTAGCCCCTGACAGGTGTTCCTTCCCACCTGTCATGGCATAGGGCCAGAGTTGTGATGCTCTGCCCTTGAAACTTTGTGTCGCCCCCTTTCATTGGGAGCATGCAGAAACCCCAGCTTAAACAGCTAGAGAGGGAACAGGCCTGATGTCCGCCTGGCATGAAAATTTTCTAAAGAACATTAGGTTTCTAAAATGAACTGGACAGATCTATTCCCCAGGGAAATGGCATGTGGTAGTTAACACATCACTTCTGAACTCTGAAAATGGTTAATCATACAGATTCAGGGACGATTGCTTGCACAGATCAGGCAGTGTGCACTTCAGAAATTGGTCAAAGTGAAAACCTGATGTAGACTGTTGGTTGCTGGGTAGCCAGTCCATCTCTGCTCTCTTGTTTATTAAAATAGTCCCAGTTCTATACAGGTTTAAGACAGACAGGGATGGCCGGGCAGTGGTGGTGCACACTTTTAATCTCAGCACTCAGGAGGCAGAGGTAGTTGAATCTCTGTGAGTTCGAGACCAGCCTGGTCTACAAAAGTGAGTTCCGGGACAGCCAGGATTGTTACATGGTGGTGATGGGGGGAGGGGGGATTGGGGCGGGGGGAGAGACAGATGGGGATGTGCTCAAAAGAAATATTTAGCAACCACAGCAATCCCGTCATCTCTGATGGGGACTGGCTAGGAAGACACCTGTCCCAAGTTACATAATAACAAAGACTTAGTGGGAGTCTATAAGAAATTTCTGGAAAGATTTGTCTTCTCTAATAGAAGATAGTCTGCCTGCCTGATAATCCTTTTTATTAGAGATTTTTCTATGGCAAGTAAAGTGTCTAGCACAAGTGCCTAGCTATAGTCATTGTGGTAACTACACACATCTTATCATACCAGGTGCTGGTGAGGCCACAGGGAAACAGAAACCATCGAGCATGGTTGATGGAAGTGTAAGTCAGTACAGTCATTCCGGAAAACAATATGACAACACTCATGAAACTAAATGAGTCCGTGAGTTATGACTCATTCACATCATTGCAGGGTTCACACCAGGGACTCTCCCACAGTCCCCAGTACGGGTGTAGGGTGTTCATCAGAAACCTAGACTTGGTCACCTAGCATCTACCAATAGGAAATAGAAGAGGATAGGAGAAGAATGCAAGCCAGGGTCAATGGCAGGTAAACGTAGGACTCTCATATGAACCAAGGGTACCCAGAGCACCCAAACTGGATTACTATGGATTGAAATGATTCGTTGGTTATAAGCTTGGTCCCACATATGGTAGGTAGAGAACATTAAGAGGTGGGGGAAGGATCATGAAATATCATTTTCTGGGTATGGCCCAGTCATTATAATCATGATCTCACAGCAGCTGAGGTTGCCTGCTCTGAGCCTGCCCAAGACTGAATCTGTCAACAGCTACTGATGGTTGGGAGAGGATATGATGAGGTCCACCCCTCCCTGCTGAACTACTGGCTACTGATGGATTCTCAGGGAGAGGGAATTATTGTCTTCAAATGAGTACCTATTGGTAACATAGCAGGTGCACTGTGTAGTTCCATACCTGTGGTCACTCAGATGTCCTAGATAAAACTCGGGATGCCATAAGAGGAATCAATGAGAACAACAACAACAAAAACATGAACATGGGAAAAGAACCTATCAGGAGGGAGGAGGAGAGTTCACAGGGGTGGGTGGAAGATAAGAGAAGATGGAGGCAAGGGTAATGAGAATACATTATATTCCTGGATCTAATTGTCAGACGACACACTTCATTAACAACAAGAACCAAATTCTTTTAAAAGATACACCCAGAGTTGTATCTCATGGGTGATTCTAAATCCAGTCAATTTGATAATGAGGAAACAGTGCTGTAATTCTCTGTGGCCCACATTGACTTATAAATTGTTTTCCTCAAGTGATGCTTGGTTGGAAAGGCCAATTGCCTTGATTTAATCATTATATATTATATGTATGTACCAAATCACATTTGAGCTGGGCCAACCATGGAGTAAAGAGAGCTGGCCTGGAAGGTGGAAGACAGAGTGGGCTGGACAATAGAAGAGATGGACATGTGACCCTTAGATGACGGCTTCCGGTTTCCCTTTCTACTCCCTAATCAACACACCACCTAGTGAACCCACTCTGTTTCTCAAGTGTCTGCCAATGCTAAGACAGCATAGTAAGAGACTGCAAATTGGAGATCATTCCTGGAGTGTATAATCCAGTTAGGGAGTCAAGGCTTCAACAGGAGGAAAGTTAGGTAACCATGGAAGAATAAAGTATAACGCAACAAAATAAGACTGTCAAAGTTGAGCTTAGTGTGGGCCCTGTAGGGGCTGAATAGAGGAGGCCAGGATCACAGTGGGCTTTGTGGGAGAATCCTCTGAAAGCCATATTTCAAGGATAGCCATAGATTGGAGAGTGAGAGGCAGAAGCCATGAGTGCTGAATACCTGAAGTGGAGAGAGGTTTGATTCAACGTGATCAGAGTGAGCATCTTCTTGTTGCTGTAACAGAAAGAAAATAATGGAGCTCTGGGAGAAGGGGTGGAGGGTCTGGATGATGAAGACTCTGAAAGTCAGGCAGAGGATTCTGACTTGGGAAACAGAGACGTGAACATTGCATAAAGCTGTGCGGCTGAGAGACAAAAAAAACCCTTAGCAGAGATCCAGGAACCCCCAAGGCCCAACCCCCACCACGACTTAAGGAACATTTTTCAAAAGCTTAAGCAGGGAAGGAGTCATAAAGAGCAGAAAAGCCAGGTGTCACCTGTGGGCACTGCGGTCATCACTAAGCCATAATGCAGAGCCCAGAAGGGACCTCAGAAGTCTTTCCCTCTCAGATCTAGGCAGACTCCATCCTTCTTCGGCCAGGACGACAACTCCAACCTTGCCTTGCGGCTACATTTGTCAAGAGAGCTACGTCTCCTGACAAGTAAGATGTAGCTCCAGATTTCAACCTATCTAGCTTCACTGGACAAATCGAGCTAAAGGTCTATAAATATCTACAACTATCACCGTCTTTCAGTTTGCTTTTTATATTAGCGCTAAGACTTTCACCTGCTAGTTTTCAAACTTGTATGTGAGGCCTCACATATAGATCGGTCTCAGGCTGCTTAACGTACTTAAATGGTGAAACGGATCTACCCAAACTTTGGAAAATGTGTTGACTGTCATTCATCAACTGCACGGACTTGGCAAGTCTAGTGTAGGCTTAGGTATCTGCATGCCAGCAAGCTTTCAAAATTATCATTGGCAAATTGAAGGCTGAAACCTACTGTCATCAAATGGACCAAAGGGACCAAGGGAGGCAGTTTAGGAGGATGACACAGTGTAGAGGTGCTCAGTAAATTGGAGGCTGAAAACTAGCTGTGGGGAGCTTCTGTGTAAGTGTGACTGGGCGCGTATTCTGAAAGGGTAAACATTGTTGCAAAGCCATGACTCATGCTCTGTTGAGGCCCTCCTCCATCCTCAGAAAACAATGTTCACTTCCACCTGAGGTCAAGTTCAAGATCCTGATTGGCAGGAAGCGTTTCCAGCACAGCACTGGGCAATCCTTAAAGACTGAGCCCCACTGCCAGGAACCTGCAGCGAGGGAGGAAATAACAAGCTGACACCGCCTAGATGTTGCTACTTAACTAGCCTTAGCTTCGACCAGTGATGGACACTCACTAGCTCTATCAGCTGGTTTTGTTTGAGACTGGGTCTCATGGACCTATAGCTGGTCTTGAGCCTACCATATAGACAAAGGACTATGATACCCCTGCCTCTACTTCTCAAGTGCTGTAGTTATAGGCAGGTGCCACCATGCTTGGTTTTATGCAGTGCTGGGGATCAAATCTTGGGTTTCATGAGTGCTAGTCAGGCAGCTATCCTGTCAGCTGAACCATATTGCTAGTCCCGAGAGCAATCATAATTCATCCGGAAGACAGAAGTTTTGTGTAATCTTTTCAAAATTGTATGTATCGTGAACAACATGATGCTATGAGGTACATTCATTGTGAAATGATGAAAAGTAGCTGGTTAACATGCCTGTTACCTCATATGGCTCTCATATTTGTGGAAAGAATATAATATCCATTTTCTAAGCATTTTTCAAGACTAGAAGACACTAAGAATTATAGCAACCATATACCAGAAGTCTCCTGAACTTATTCCTCCTAGTGGGCTGAAATGTTATCTTTTTTTATTGATTCCTCACAGCTCTCTCCCTTCCAACCAGCCCACCTCTGGAAAACACTAGCCTATTTTCTACTTCTGTGAGCCAATTCCTTCCTATTAAATATGGGAGTAAAAATGTGTGCTTTGTCTTCCTGTACCTGGTTCAGGACACAAATAGACATTCACAAATGCAGCATTGTGTGTGTGTGTGTGTGTGTGTGTGCGTGCGCGCGCACACACACACACACACACACACACACACACACACACACTCATGAGCATATGCTTTTAAGTCTCTGTAGAGGTTAGACATGCCAATGATCAGAATCATATAGCCTGTCCTACTTCCTGTGGACTCAAGGTTAGTTAGAGAAGGGAAGTGAACTGACAGATGAGTCTAGGGTGATACCAGGAGTGTTCCCACATATGTCTCAAAGGTAAGCCCACTGGGGAGGGTATTTTCTGTCCTATTCCTCCAATGAGGAAACCAAGACAGAAGATCTACCACTTGCTCAGATCCTAGGAAATCAAACCCCAAGACTGACCTCATGTTCAATGCCACATATGGAAGGGGTCCTAAAGTATACCAGCTTTGAGTACAGAAAATAGGGAGGTGAATATAAGCATACTCTAAAGAGAGGAGGGCCAATGATACTGAACCCTCAGTTAGAGAGAACAACCCAAATAATTTTTTAAAAACCGAATTCAAAGCAGTATGGAAGTGATCTCCAGGGAAAAAGAAGTCAACTACAGATGAAGAATAAAGGTACAAAAAAAAAAGGTGGAGTACTTCCTTTCAGTAAACATACTGATACTTTCTTCTTGTCAAATACATTTTTTTCTAGCCTATAAATAAAATGACACAATTAATGCAACTATATCAAAAATTGCATAATACTGATTTTAAAATGAGGATAATGAGCAGTGCTTGCTCAGTCCTAATCTGTGAATTTATGTCAATTCATGTATTTTTGCATATTCTATGAGATCTGCCACTTCCGTTTGTTTCTTTCTATTTCTTGGAATACGTTTAGGGTTATTGTGCTCTGTGGCAGCTCTCTCTTCAGGACACAGTTTGGCCTTAGAAAACGCACAGGCAAAATGGAGTTGGCTTTCTCATCCTCCTGGGTGAAAATGAAGAATGCGTTTTATAACCAATAACAGAAAATGATGAAAAATATTTTTAAACTTTGTTCCAAAGGAAGTGGAGCTGGACTTTAAGAAGGCTCCTCCCCCACTGCAAGGAGCAGCTCTCCAGCTACCCCATGACCTCTGCCAGGCAGGCCCTTGTTCAGAGAGTGGAAAATAGCCTCCTTTGCTCCCCACTGGTATTATTAAGGTTCCTATTGAGACATAGTTAATCATGCCAATTAGGAGCTGGTTTACACTTGGCCTTCACTGCCAGGCACAGGCCCTGTGTCTATGAGAAAGTAGGTAGATAAGCAGCCAGTTGTGTCTCAAGATGATTAAATGCATGTGTGTCCCCCTACCTCCTATAACTTTTTTTCATCTCTATCATTTTAAGTTTATATAAAATTTATATTCAGCGAAATACAAAACTGAATTTGACACGTACTCATCCAAAAGCATCAAATCAAAAGACAGAACATTCCCTATCCAGAAGGCTGTTGGTTCTTCTCCTAGTTGATCTTGTCACCCCCCCCCCACCCCAAACAGAGGCAATGCTACACTTATTTCTACTTCCATTTATTAATTTGGCATGAGTTTAAACATCACACAAAATAGAAGCATGTTTTATGTTCAAGATGAGCAGAAATAAGAAATGAGAGCTAGCAGTTTGAGAGGGATAGTAAAATATCAAAGGCATGCTGCAAAATTATGACAGATCCTCAGAAGGTCATGCAGAGACATACCCTGTGGCCCAGCAACTGTACTCCCAGGTATGTATATACTGTGATAAATGTAAGTCCATGAGAAAACTTGGATATGAACCTCCAGAGTAGCCTATTTTAGAAAAAGGAAATAGCCCAAAGTTGGTCAACTGATGGGAAAATAAAACAACATATAGCCACAAAATGAATTCTTCTTCCAGTCTATAGAAAGAATGAAGTCAAGGTACTTGTACAACATGAATGAGCCTTGAAAAACTATGCTAAGTGGAAGAGGCCAGCCCTAAAAGGGTAGGATTCCATTTACAGAAAATGAGTCCAGTGGACCCATCCACAGAGACAGGAAGCACCCTGATGAGGTCTGATGACTGGGGTAGACAGAGGTACAGGAACTGGGTAGCTGAAGGGCCCAGACTTTCTCTTTGAGGAAATGAATATGTTTTAGGATTAGTAAATTCCATGGTATGTGACTTGTGTCTAAATAAAGCTGTTTTAAAAGAGCATGTTGAGAATCCATCCATGTGAGGACAGCAGTCAGAGGTGGAAAACCACAGCAGCATCCCTGAAGAGCAGATTTAATGGGACAATTGCTTGGTATTGCGGCCTAAGAACTAACTCCATGTCCCCAAGGAACAGAGCTGGCTCCAGTAAAGTCTCTTTCCCATGAGAAGGCTCTGCAATTTGTTGCCTTTCCCAGGGGCCCTTCCCTCTCTCCAGAGTCTAAATCCCAGAACTCAACGAGTTCTGTCCCTCTGTCCCCTGCTCTCAGTTAGTTTCTTTTGCAAGGACAAGGTGATGGCCTCCTTGGGTGTTGCATTGTGTTTAGCAGAATATACTAGTAGCATGTGGAGGTGGGAAGAGCCCATCGGAGAGGAAGGTCAAGAACTCTGTGGTACAGACAGTTTTGTGTTGGCAGTGGTAATGTTATTTTGTGCTGCTTTGAGATATCTTCTCATCTAGCTCGAGATGGCCTTAAACTCCTTATGTAGCAGAGGATGACCTTGAACTTCTGATCCTCCTACATCCACCTCCTGAATGCAGGGACTTTTTGGTTTATGTCTGGCTTATTTGGTACTGGAGTTCAAACCCAGGGTCTTCAGTATACTAGGCAAAGATTCTACCAGCTGTGCTATATCTGTAGGCCCCAGAGGGGAAGAGGTCAGAATCCCTCATTACTAATGTAGGACTTCATCTCATCCTGCCTTACCTCAAAAGAACAATGTCCTGACCTATGGTCCAAGCACCTAACGCCTAGCCCTGGGAACATACCCAGCGCTATCACTTCCACGCTGTATGATTTTAGTTAATGTCCTTTCCTGTCTAAGCCTCACTGATCTGTGTGCCAGAGAATATGTTAGCACCCATATGATATAGGAGTGGGTAAGTTTATGTGGGCAGATTTATTATAAAGAGAGCTAAGAGTATTTGGGGTACCTATTCTGTCATTTGTGCCATAAAGAAGCCAACAGACTTTAAAAAGGCCACATTGCATTTCAATAGCTCATTATTTATAGACATTGAACTTCCTATTTCCATTTTGTGTAATTTTCACATATGTAAGCCTTGTGAGGTGGCACACACCTGTAATCCTAGCGCTCAGGAAGAACAGAACATCAAGGCCACCCTTCGCTACACAGGGAATTTGGGGACAGCTTGAGATGCACAGGACCTTGTCTCAAAAAATAAATGACTGCACATTAAATAGATGATAAATAAGTAAAGTTCTTTAACTCATGAGTTGTACAAATCAGGTGGCAAGCAGGGTCTAGCTTGTGACTGGCAATTCACTGAAGCTTATAGTACCTGGCTCACAGTAAATGCCATTCCCTCTAACTGCTGAGTGCTTACTGTGTGTATGACACACCCTTTGTGTACCATATCTCACTTCAACTTCACCCTGTCTGTGGCAGCTAAGAGAATAACCACTGCTTGTCACGGTACTGAGGCTTCATTCGTCCTAAAAGACTGCACAGGCATTGGAAGAAATTTGAAGAGTTTTACCACTAGTTGCTGAATATGGGTAAAACTGAGGCCCAGGGAACCCGTGATGATGTGACAGAAACATACATGGCAAGGTTAAAGGTATTTATCATGCATTTAGTAAAAGACCTATTTGCAAACTACGAACATATTACGTAGATGAGATAGATGATAGACAGACAAAGTCATACACTCATGCAGTTATTGAATTAGTTACCTCAAAATGATGAGTAGTTTTAGCTTTTTCTGAGAGGTACTTACTGTTTCATCCAAAAAGGGCAAACTGCTATCCAGGCATTCAATGCTCTTAAAATGGTACTCTTGTTTGTCATCTGTTGCTGTAATAAAACATGACTGAAAGCAACTTCTAGGAGGAAACGATTTATTTCATCTTCTGGGTTACAGTCCATCACCAAGGGAAGCCAAGGCAGGAATCTAAAGGAGAAACTGTAGAATACTGCTCAGTTGGCTTTCCTATACAACCCAGGCTACCTACCCAGGGATGATGTGCCCTCCCATGTCAGTCATTGATCAAGACAATCTCTCTTGTCTTGAGATTGTCACAGACCAATCTGATCTGGCTCCCACTTCCAAGGTGATTCTAGGTTGTGTCAAGACAGTATAAATTAACAAGTACATGCCGTTTGACTGGTAAGCGGGGATTGCTCTGTATTAATTTACTTGTCTATGTATCTTTCTAAAGGATGCATTGCAAGTCTGGTTACACACTGAAGAATCCTGGCAGGTGGGACAGAGACATTCCTGATTTGGAAGAAAGGCTCATCAGGCAAATCATCATCCACCCAAGAGTACAGATGCTGCATTTATAAGGTACTTGCATGGGGGGGGACCACCAGATCTCAAGGAGCTGTGCAGTCTTGCCCTATGACTTGAATGTGGATTAGGTTTCCATACCCTCGTCTACCCAGCAGCTAAACAGAGGGACTCCCAGCATACTTAAGGAGACTAGGGAATTTATTTGCAGCTGGGCAGAAGATTTTCTTTAACACAAGTTGGAGGGTGGGAGGGGGTAACCTGTTGCGGGAGCTGTGAGAGTAAACTTGAGTTCAAAAATCATTCTGCCAACTGCATCCACAAGACGGGAGGACTTAGTATCTAGATCCCAACCCCTTTCTGAAAGGCTACCAAGAAGGAATTTAAGTCGTGATGGATACTAAAATGCAGGGTAGAAAACATGTTTACAACATGGAGTGTGGTACAGAGAAATACCGAGCAGCAGGTTTTCAGGTCCCCGCACCTTGAAGGGAGAGCACAGGCCTCTTCATGTGCCTCCGGATGCTGACTGCACCAAAGCAGCTTATGACTTTCTGGCTCTTGTTTATAACCCCAAGGCTGAACTGTACATTTTAAATTGGAAACAATTTCTCTGCAGTGTTTTGTTCACACACATGAAAGAGAAGTCTTTAGGGCCTCTGTGACTTTATCGTTCCGCCCCTGGAGCATAGAGAGGAAAGGTGTTGGGGCGGGCCAGAGTGTCAGTCCAGCTCTGTGCCCTTTTGAAAGTTATTTGCTGGTTCCTGGCTTCAGGATCAATAGCATCCCTCCACAGCAGCAGGGACAGCAGTAGATAATCTGCTCAATAAACAGCCAGAGGAAGGCCAGCTTGTTCTTCTGGGAATGCCATGGGGAACTTACAAAGCATTGAGAAGTCGTGCCATGGGGGAAGAGGCTCATTCTGAACAGAGGGGCCTTGGTGGTCTCATTACCCTTAGCTGGAAGGGCAAGGTGAGGGTGTTTGACTCTTGCAAGGATGAAGGAAAGCAGGGTAGACTGACCAAACAAGAAATGTCAGCATCCTGTACCCAGCAAGCTCCTGTCTACACATGGACAGAGTATATCAGATTTTCCTGTGGAGGAAAATGAATAGGTGCAGGGGCAGGGATCTCAGGCCACCAGGAGAGAAGTGGCATGGAATGAATTTCCACCAAAATCCCTCTGAACTTTGAAATATTAGAGTCTATATTTGTTTTCAGTTGTTGAGGACCTAGATTGGACACAGGAGGAACTTGTATGGTATAAGATGTGATCTTTTTCAGACACTTTCCCAAAGGCAGGCTTGGGAGTCTCTTATGTGGCTACTGGGTGGTAGGTAGTCTCAGGAAACCACCATTCAAAACTCTACTGAGCACATCCTCAACCAGAAAATGTTCTTAAAGAACACTGGGATGAGCCCACAGTAAGGCATCCTGAGACTTCTCTTCAGGCTGTGAGTGTATCATAAACAGAGAAATAACCTTATGAACTATACAGTAAACACAATAAATATACACATATGATACACATATATCCCTAAACATACTATCTGACTATATGCACACACGGGCGTGTGCACACACTCCACACAAATACACACACACATGCACACGCACACGCACACACACACACACACACACACACACACACACATCTTTTTCAGTTACTTCTCATACAAGCTCTATGTTAATGCTAACATAACCCCGTATCTCAGGTAGGGAACCCCAGGCATGGAAGAAATGAGAACTTGGCTTAAGGTCATTTACTGATCAATGGCAAAGGCCAGCTAAACAAGTAAGGCAACTACCAGAACCCAGAAGTACAGGTCTACTTTCTAGTCACAATGCAGTAAGCCTGTGATGGGACTTCACAAGTCTAGGAATCCCTAGATCCTGGCTCTCCTCCTCCCCCTACTCAACTACCCTTTCTGCACTCATGAATGGCTAACACAGCACCCCAGAATTCACATCCTTGCCCCAAATCTCAATGTCTTCTGTAGTCATGCTTCAGCTAGCTACTCAGCAAAACTCAGACCAGCAAAAGGTTATCACTCTTGCTGGATTTTGTTTCCTTGCCGCATGAAAGCCAGCTATTTCCTTCAAATTGGTATCAGTCAGGCCAGGAAGTTTCTTTTTCCCTGTAATGCATGGTGTGTGGGAAGATCAGAGGGTCCTGTGGCTGCAAGGACAGAGTCAGATTGACCTGGGGAGATAGAAGTGGGCTGTCCTAGCCTTGTCCTGTGGCCCCTCTGAGTTGGCTCAATCAGTCTACCTATCAAGGGAGTTAGATAGACTGGTACAGTTTTACCTACCAAGGGAGATAGGAACAACAAGACACCCATCACAACTATTGCTCAGGACAATTATCATCAATCAGAAGAGTCTCAGCTCTGTATTAAGGCATCTCAGAATCTTACACTACTTTGTTCTATCTCATAAACCCACTGCTGGTAGTCCACCAGCAAGGGACAGCACCATTTTCAGAAAACAAACCCCTCTGAAAGAGGAGGTGGTAGCAACATCAGAGGACAGGCCACCTCATTTTCATGTCACAGATAAAATACTAGGGCTTATAATACCAGCATGGGTCAATAGAAATATAGTACTGTGTGTGTCTAATGTGGGCTGTAGTAGATAAACTGATGGCCATGTAACAATGCCCATGCTCCAATCCCTCAAGCCTGTGAATATCAGGTTACATGGCAGAAGGGAATTGAGGCTGCAAATTGAACTAGAGTTGTTGACTTATTTAAAATAAATAGATGATTCTAGATTATTTTGGTGGCCCAAGTTACCATCAGAAGGGCTTTCAAATAAAAGAAAGAGTGAAGGGCTGGGGGCGGGGTGACTCAGTTGGTAGAGCATCATGCACAGAGCCCTGAGCTTAATCCCCAGAACCAAATAACTGAACATAGTGGTACACATGTGTAATCCCAGCACTGGGGAGGTGGGAAGAGGGGAACAAGACATTCAAGGGCATATGATAGATAGCAAAAGCTTATTCTTCACTCTCCTGTCAGCTGGTCAGCTAGGTGTTGGCTGATGTAAGCAGTGCTTGTGGGAACATGGTTCTGCATCTATATCACACTCCCATCACCAAAGGAACAGTGTTACCAGGATCATGAGAGTTACAAGAGCAAGTTTCCACACATTCCATTCTCCACTTGGGTGATAAGACCAAGAACTTCCCAGAGAGCACAAGAAGTCACATGACCAAGTCCAAAGTCCAGGAATAAAAGTCCGTTCTATCCAAACGTGCTATGCGATCATGGCAAAGGGGTGAATGCATAGTTTTCTAAGGGAGGGTTGCAGAATTGTAACAAGCAGTTCAAGCTACCAAAGACAATCAACATCCCATGTTATGGATGAGGAAAACAGAACAGAATCACTCAGAATTTCCCCCAAATCATACCGCTAGTACACAAGGGAGCTAGGACTGGAACTTCCGATGGTCAGTCTGAATGGTCAACTTCACAAGACCTGGAGTCACCAAGAAAATAGGCTCTGGGCATACCTGTGGTGAATTAACTTGATTAGATTAATTGTGGCGTGTTGATCCACCTGTTGTGGGTGGCACAGTTACTGTGGGTCAGAATCCAGGACTAAATAGGAGAGAATGCAAGCTACATGAAGCATTCACCACTCCCTATTTCTTGACAGTAGATGCCATGTGGTCAGTTGCTGCCTCAAGCTCTCGTTGCTGGGGTTCCATCCTTTGATGGACTGTGACCCTGAACTGTGATCTGAAATAAACCCTCTGTCTAGTAAATGAGTTTTGCCCGAGCATTTTCATCAACGCAATAGACGAAGAAACTAAGACAGAAGCAAGTAGGTAGCTTTAGAATGATGGTTAAGAACTTACATCTGCTGGTGAGTACAGTTAAATCTGTATGACACTAAACATGATTGTGTCTGAGCAGGGTGCATTGCTCTGGGCTGCAAAGATTCTCAGAAGCAAAGGAACAACACTCCAAGAGAGAGCAAACCAATGGAAAGGCAGCCAGCTTGAGCTGTTGCTTTCAGTGAGGCCACATTCCCTCTTCCAGGCCTGGGGCCAAGAAGGTTCTGTGGCTTTCCAGGGATGATTGTACAGCAAGTCCAGCACCCAGGCTGAGTCAGCTATCCACAGCTGTCACAAGGCCAAATGTCCTTCTTCCCCATCTTCAGGGACCGAATCTGCTGCTAAGGGAGGCTGCTTTATAAGAGGCCGGCACGTCTGTTCCTTTAACAGCCGGAGACCAGAATGAGGTAAGGCAGTTAGGAAAAGTTGAGGAAGAAAATGAGAGTTATGGGGAGAAGCAGAGCTGTCCCTGAGCACTGGCGAGCAGATGTAGAAAGAATTGAAGACGAGAGTGAAGTAATCCTCAGAAAGAAGCATTACTGAGAAACGGTATTTCAGAGCACCTAGTTGGATTTCCTGGAAGAGATCAAAAAGCACATCTGGGGGGGGCCTCCATAGAAGGCTGACAGGGCAGGAAAGCCAGGGGCAGGAGGCAGCAGTGGCTCCACAGGAAAAAGCAGCCAGTGTCTGGAGGCTCAGAACGGTCCCAGAACCAAAACTACCCAGAGACTTTTAATACCGGGGCTTGGGTCAGGGATCTCTCAAGTCTCTACATACTTGGTCCTGTATGTGTCAGTGACTACTGTGACTTAAGACCTAAGGCTGAACCAGAG